CTCAAATAATGCTTAAAAGTTTGCAATTTGACCTCGAGATGTATGTATGTGTGCATATATCTTATGTATTTAGATATCTAAAACTTAGACTTTACTTTTGAACATTTATACCACCCAAATCTCTTTTTGTATTATAACAATTTTGGTGTTAGGTACAAAAATACATAGAGATGTGTGTGTGTGTGTGTGTGTGTGTGTGTGTGTGTGTGTGTGTGTGTGTGTGTGTGTGTGTGTGTGTGTGGACATAGACTCAAACCCCTATAGAATTTGAAATGAGTTTCAAATTCAATAGAATGGTGTCATGCTTAAAGTTAAAGTTTTCAATTTAGTAGTGATTTCAGCTTTATGTTCCTATAAAGATTGCTCTTGAATATAGGTGCAATTGTTGTCATGATTATAAAGTGAAAGCAAAAAGCATGTAAAGTGCTGATCTAGGAGGCTAACCTACAAATGTAATGTAATGGTTGAAAAAAATAAATTAGAAGGTGTAGAACTTGAGCTTACTTTTAGGGGGTGAAACCAATATTTGATGTAGAAGTCAAATCGATGTCCATACCTTTTTCTTATTGTATTAATGTAGAGAATTGAAGTGTAATTGAAGTGTATAGATTAGCTCATAATATATTATTTTTGTTCCTTTCTCTTTTTATTTTTAAAGGAGTCGTCAGTTTGTTTATCTTCTCGTACTTATCTTTTATGAATAAGTTTTTTTTTTCAGATCATATGAATGATCGAGAGAAGAGAGGAACCAGAAAAACATGATAGACGACAAATGTTGACAAATAAAAGAAAGAATGTAGAGAATTTTCGTGCAGCAAACATCGTTAGGATATGTCAAACATATACATCCAAACAAGATCAGATTGAAATAACTAGTGTCAAATATCATCGAAAGAATGCATACGAAAGCTACCCACAACCTGAGATTAAGGTGTATTTTTCTGTTATGGGGTCTAGAGTGCTCTCAAGTGGATTTATCCCACTTAGTTAATTACATCTTAGGGGCTCCCCATGATTACTCTTGATCAAGGGAGTTTTGCCTACATTTAAAGTGACAACTAACATAGGGCTATCAAGGGACGGTTATTTTGCATGGAAATGCTTCGATGCTTTCAAAGCTCCTGTTAAGCCATGGAGCAAAAAGTGAATCTCTCACGGTCCCCCGCATGGGTGACAGATCATCGACCTACGGAGTCTGTGAAATAACTGAATCTTCCTAACGGAATTCCCAATACGTCAAAGCACATTCGGACCATATAGGCAGAGGACAAATCGTCAAAACTCAAACTAGCGACAGCTCATTATTAATCAGGCCGTCAAGATGATACCAACGAAAGCAAAATGGGAGCGACATGGTTCAAAGTGGGTGGTCATAGGAAGAGATGAGTAATCCATAACAGGTAGACGTAGACAAATTGGGACACCACATACCCATCATGAGCATAGTTTATTATTCCTTGAATTTCACCAATAACTATTATGATCCTTTCGAAGGCTTAAATCCATATCATGTGTATAGTCACAATACAGGTTACAAAATTTGGATCATAATATATAGGAACTTTATCATTACATTCTTGCACCAATCTCTACAAATTAATTGACTGAGACATGATTATAGTTAAATATAATAGGTATGTTATAAATAAATAAGCCCTTGCATATGTTATATGAAGTACAACATGGTGTATAACATGAAGTATAACATGGTGTACCATGTCGTCCCCAATATTAAATTATATTACAATATGGTTGTACTCATAAATAAATGTTGTTAAAAACTTGTTAAACTATAGATCAGACATTCTTGAGCTCTTACACATGCTATAACATGTAGTACGACATGATTATACTAATGAAAAAAAAGATTTAAAAACATGTTTTATTATATACCAAATGTTCATAATGTCCTTACCAATATTATAATATTTAATAAAAGATGGTTGTACTCATTGAAAAATAATTTTAAAACTATGTTGAACTATATAGAACAAACGATTTTAAGCCCTTACACATGTTATAACATGTAGTACAACATGGTTGTAATGCTGAAAAAATGATTTTAAATCTTGTTATATTATAGACCAAATGTTCATAATGCATATAGCTATATTATAATATGTAGTACAAAATGGTTGTACTCGTCAAAAAATGATGTTAAATTATGTTAAACTATAGACTAATTGTTCATAATGTATTTACCCATATTATAATATGTAGTACAACATAGTTGTACTGGTCAGAAAATGATGTAAAACCATGTTGTATACGAAACGAAACGTTCATAAAACATTTACTAAAGAACCATGATGTCCAACCATGTAGTAAAATAAGGTCGTACTTATGTAAAATATTGTAAATATGATGTTCCAATAAAGAAAAAAATGATTTATAACCATCTTTTGCTAAGTAAAATTTAATTGGTGTTCAGACAAAATTATCCGTTCGGACTTCGGATGTAACATTTCTTTCATTAAAAGCTGAGTAAAACATATAACTTCACATATTATAATCCCTCATCTCTACACAAGGAATCATCTACGAGAAAAAAACTAATCGATGTGTATGATTATTGTTCATTACGATGCACTTTCACCTTTTTCTCACCCACTTCCATAACATCTATAATAGCTTACAATTTACTGATCAATAATCAAAAGTTGATCGTCAGGATATGCTTTCTTTCTCATCAATGTTTAGAAACACTCTACACTCACATGCCATGAATTCAAGTGTATGCTAAAAATGTCAAATCAACCAACAAAAATTAGAAAATTATCTCTAAATTTTAAATATTTGTGTGTTTTTTTTTTTGAAAACTCTTGTCTACTGAAAATTAATTAGCGACGTCTATTTCAACGTTAAGTTTTTTTCTACGCAGATCGAGAATAGCGTCGAAAAAAATCGTGTTCGACACTAATCCGATAATTCTTGTAGTGTAATCTTGACCTAAAACCTTACCCCAGCCTCTTGGTTGGCATCCACGGTCGAGGATTCAAATCCTCTCCAGCACAGCTGATCTTAAATTGTGACTCGGATTGTTAGACACATTAGAGTAGGGTTGTAAACGAGCCGAGCTTGAGCTCGTGTTCGGCTAGTTTGAAATAGCTCGTGTTCGAAATCGGCTCGTGAACAGCGTGTTCGTGTTCGACTCGATTTAAATATTCGTGTTCGTGTTCGGCTCGAGATTAACTTGTTAAACTCAAATTGAGAAAAGTAGATGTAAAGTGTGAGATTCAAACCAGGTTCAAATCTATACAACAGAAGACACCAACCACATTGTCACATGAGATGTTATGATTTAAATTTAGACATAAATATATATAATATATTACTATATAAATAATATATGTAATATATTGTTATATAAAAAAATATATATATATATATAGCCATTTCGAGCCGAACACGAGTGAACAAACTGTTATTCGTGTTCGACTCGTTTACATTTCGATCCTAAAAATTTGTTCTTATTCGGCTCGTTAAGCTTAACGAACGAGTCAAACACGAGCTTTTTACAAACAACGAGCCAAATTGACAGCCCTACATTAAAGATCGCCGGAGACTCTTGTGGATTCCTCGAGAATAAATATATCTGAGCCTAGTCCCATACGAGTGCTTGCGGTCCCCCTCACTTGGGTAGTTGAAGCTATATATATATATATATATATATATATATGGCATGAGAATGGTTTTGATTTGAAAGGAACAAAACTTAAAAAAGGTCATAGGGGCATAGACTTACCGCAATGTTTTAAACTTTGTGTGGATCTACAGTGAAAAGTGAATTAGATTTGTTTGCTCTTCCCAAAAGCCACCTAGGCCTCTACTCCTCAACAAGCCAATGACTGCACCAAAAGGCTTTTATGAAAGCGAAAGCTACATTAAATTAAAGAAATCACTTTTAAGCAGCGGCTTGTGACTTTGCAAATATAATTGAAAAGTGCAAGAATAGTTTTTGACAATTTATATGGAGTTATTTTCCGTCCAGAATTTATAGAAGTCTCAAAACAGTCTCTGTCTATTTTAGATTTGAGCTATAATAGTCATTCATGATAGGGGTGTAAACGAGCCGAACACGAGCGAGGCATGCGAGGCTCGTGTTCGGCTCGTTTATATTTCGAGCCCAAAAGGTGTGTTTGTGTTCGGCTAGTTTGCTTAACGAGCCGAACACGAGCTGTTCACGAACAAAGAGTCCTTTTAACAGCCCTAATCACGTAGTCATAAGACGACAAAAGTTTACATGTAGCAATAAGATGTTAAGGGTTGGAGCAAGATTTAAAAATTATAGTTTATATTAAAACATCATTGGAATCTAATTTAATAGTTTTTATTCTATTTTCTTAATTAATACTTTTAATTGATTATAAATCTTTGTAGCCTTATAGTTAATTTAATTTTTTTAAAATACTACTCATCAATATATATATATATATATATATAAAATTGATGAGTAGTATTTTGAGCCAAAACGAGCCAAACACATCTTTGTTAGTGTTCGGCTCGTTAACTTATCGAACAAAATTAACGAGCCGAACACGAGCTTCTTAACGAGTCGACAACAGCTGTTCGCGAACAACGAGCCGTTTTGCCAGCCCTACTTCATGAGAATTATTTCAACTTCAATTAAATAGTCTCATAACTATTTTGACGCATCTATAAATTCTATACGTAACTCTTATAAAAATGATATTTTGATTTCAAAAATACCGCTTGCACTTTTTTTTAGAATTGACACCAAGATGCTATAATTGTAAATAGCAAACTTTGGGTGATAGATATGTAAATACATAAACAATATGTGGTATATATGTAATTTCCCTTGTAAGTAAACCCTTGGTTTTAAGGAGTTCGAACGTGAACCAATTTGTGAAATAGAGCATTAACAGGTGCGAATTTGTAAATGAGCAGGTGCCATTTATATACATTCCACATTATTCTTTTGTATTTACATATCTAACACATAAAATATTCATATTTACAGGCATATTCTCCAAATCCTTAATATTGCATCAACAATGCCACCATCATGATTTAAAGCTAGTAATTAACAATAATTATACGATTATATTATAAAAAAACTGATAAACAGAGCTTCTTCTTCTTCTTCCCCATGGCTTCAATCAAGCGGAAACAACGACTCATGACCTAGAACAAAAGAAACCTGCTAAGGTGTTAAGCACCCACTGCACCAGACAAATCGATCTCATTTTCATTTCCTAACACTTGGGAAGATCAAGCGGCGGAGGCGCGGTGGACTGCAACTCCCCCGCTCCATTCTCCACCAGAAACGCCATGGCTAACCCCCATGAAAGATGAGAGTCAATATGACAATGAACAAACCAAACCCCAGGGTTATCAGCCACGAACCTTATCACCCCCCACCCCTTCACCGGCACCCCCACCGTATTCCGGCGAGGCGGGTCTACAAGATTGAACTTCGCCGCATCCCTCTTCGCGTCGAAGTTTCCCCTCCCCGTCGCCAGCACTAAGAACTCGTAGCCATGGATATGCATGGGGTGTTCCTCCGACATGTATATATTAGTCCCCTGCATCACCAGCTGCACAACAGAACCGTATTTCAGCGGGTAAAGCTTCGTAGCCCTCACCGGTTGGTAGAGGCTGGTGCTTATGTTATCTCCGGTGTAGTCAAATTTGACCGGCGGGGAAGCCGGGAAGTCAGTCGTGAACACGCCGCGAACCCCTGATTGTGCGGCTTGGAGCAAAGAGAGACCTTTAGGCAGAACAAATGAGTAATTGTTCATGCTGGTGGTGAACAGAGTACCGTTTGGACCGCTGCAAGTTTTCCCCTGCTGGCAGCTGATCAGACCCAGCCCGACGGTGAAGAAGAGGTGCTCGTCCACTGGTGCCGGGATTTTAACGGCGTAGAGGCCCTTAATACCGGCCGAGAAAGCGGCGACAGCGGCGGTGTCGTTGTAGGGCGGTAAAACAGGGAGCTTGGGCGGCGAGTGACCGGGGGTTTGGTTTTCGTAGATGAGGATGGCGGTGGTGGTTGTGTTGTCGAAAGGGGTGTTGAGGGAGCCGCTTTGGTATGCTCGGGCGGCAATGTAGTAGCGGCCGGCGGGCCGGTTGGCATGGATGAGCACGTCGGTGGTCTGGCCCGGCGCGATTAGAACGACGGAGGTTGTGAAGGGTTTGGTGTAGGAGGAGTCGGCTGCTACGACGGTCATATTGTGGTCGGCTACGGAGACGAAGAGCTCCGTGAGCATGGCGGCGTTGATAAAGCGGAGGAGAATGGTCTCGCCGGCCGCCACCGGGATTACGGTGGTTTCTGCAGTGATGATTTCATGTTTGTATGTTGTAAATTATAAAAAGGTGGTAAATTGTGAAGGAATGTATTACCTTTTGTGGAGCATTTGTAGAGGTCTCCAGGTTGGCCGTTGATGGTGAGGGAGTCGGAGGGCTGAGGGGCGGCGCCGGTCTTCAGGGCTCGCCGGATTATGTCCAGGGGGTTTGCATTCCACCACTCGCCTGTTAAGGTTAATTAAATCAATAATTATTATTGTTGCTTGTTAAAGATTTAAGGGTTATGAATGTAAATATGAAAATTTAGGGGTTAGTTATGCAAACAGATAAAAAGGATGCAGCATGCATGTCAATGCCTCGAATATTAAATAAGAAATTATGAATTATTTAGTTTGATGGAAATTTGCATTACATGTAAATTTTTATGTGTTGTCTATGTAATGTAATATCACAAAAGGTCGCGAGCTAATTTCGAGTTGATTTCAAGTTGTGCTTAGTTTCAACTTTGAGATGGATCGAGTTGATTCCGAGCTAAAACGAATCCGAACAACTCAATTTGAGTAAGCTCGTTTCGATTTTGAACCGTATCAAGCTCAATTCAATTTTGAAGCGGCTCTACTTGAACGATAACTGGGAAAGAAATTACAATACCAAGAATGAGTGGGAATTCACACTTGGGAGGGGCGAAAGGATAAGAGCAATGCAGCTTTGGAAGAATTATTAGGGCCCCATGGACGGTAGCCCTAAGCCAAGAGTTGTGAGCGTGCCACCATAAGGTCCCCTCCTGATCCTCTACGCTGAACCTGTATGTATAACTCCCTCCAGCCTGAATTGGGCACTGCGTCACATAAGCCGGCCCATCTGCCCACCCATTTCTCAGCTGCCTGATTCCATGCCTGCCCACAAATGCACATGTATCAACACCAAATTTACATATAAATATTTACATGCATACCACTCATTTTCTACATATTTACCTATCGAACACCTACAACTTTAAATTTTACACAAGAAGTTTAAAAGTTATAATGGTGGCACTTTGGTGGTTAACTGTCTGTAACGACTGCAGTTATTTGAAGAAGCAGTTGTGAAACTGTTGCTCAAAAAACTTTGATGGTTCAAATAATCAGATCATAGCTTTCTAGTAGCCACCATATTTAGTTACAACTTAAAGTCGTTACTTCTAAAAAAAAAAGCAAAATACAATTGTGCCAAACTTAAAAAACTGTGATAATGCACCACACCGTCACCACAAGCTCACACAAAATATAAGAAGTAAACTTTAGATGTTTGATATGTAAATACATAATGGGGTGGTATGCATGCAAGTAAATGCCCAATATACATATATTTGTAGTTCAGCATACCAATGAAGCGTAATATTATACTTGGCTTGGTTAACAACTCTGATAACTAGACTGTCTCCATTTCTGACCAGGAGAGTTGGTCCGGGGAACTGCCCATTTACAGTGATAGTTGAGCGTGTGTGGCACAACCTCTTCACTGGCACAGCTTTTATCTATTATTAAAGAGATTTACTCTGTGGATCAGTTGAGAGCTACGTACATATATGCATGATATTTGATATAGAAGGCGTACCACAAAGTCATGTTGGTGAACTTCTGCATTGGGCGCAAGGAAGAGAACAGAGAACCAGAGAAATAACCAGAAGGAAGAAGATGAAGAAAGGTTGTCAATCTCCATAGTTATGGACTTGTGGGCTGTAGTGATGGAGGGCATGGGGGTGATATATGAGGTTTTCTTTGAGTAAAAGTATGAGGTGGGGTCATGTCATTGGTTCTGTAGAGATTGAAAGATTAGGTTTTTGAGATATTATGTTATATTTCAAAAGGTTTGAACTACAAAAAATTTATGTTGGTTGATAATAGCATTTGATGGCTAACGAACAATAACTATTGAAGAGGCAAACAAGTTATTGTTGTTACAGGGTCAGAATCAGCTTATATATATATCTAGGGTGGATTATTGCCCCCTCTTTAATTTATAATTTCTCTATATTATCCCCCCTCCCACAATTAACCACAATTTATCATGATATATTTCAAAAGCTTTGACATAAAACAAGCCTCGGTGGTGGACAATATCATTTTGTGGCTTATGAAAGACCACCATTGTGGAAGCAACAAGCGCCTCACAATTTCTTTTATATAAATAGTAAAATTTAATTTTTTTTTCTTAATTTTATTTATTATGTTATTCTAAATTTAATACATGTATAAATCAACCTACAACCCTTCTTTTGGTGCTCAAGATCATAGATACCTTCTTTTTATGCAGGGAATCATGGAGAAAAGCAAAAAAAAATGCAACTTTTGGTCTATGATGTACTATTATGCCTTTTGCGTAGGCAATGGATAAAATAAGATCCAACATTAAAAACATTAAATCATATCATATTCATTCTAATTCAAAATATATTTTGCATTATCATTTGTGAAGCAATCGCAGAAAGAAGTCATAACTAAAAAGATTGAAATGTGCTGCAATCCCCTGCTGTAATTCAGCAGAAACAATTTCTCACATTTAATCCGCTCTCACTTGCAGAACAAGCAATCAAAATCAGCTACCTAAAATCCCCAAACCAGGCACACACACCAATGATGAAGCCAATCAAATACCCTAAACTCAAACAGAGCAGCAGAAGTCTCCATCCGGATCCATCACAAACTCAATCAAAAGCTCTTGAAACTCCTAGCATTTGGGAAGATCAAGCGGCGGCGGAATGGTTGACTGAAGTTTTCCCACTCCATTCTCCACCAAGAAAGCCATGGCTAATCCCCACGTCAAATGCGACTCTATATGACAGTGAACGAACCAGACCCCAGGGTTATCAGCCACAAACCTAATCACCGCCCACCCCAGCACCGGCACCTCCACGGTGTTCCGCCGCGGCGGATCAACAAGATTGAATTTTGCAGTATCCCTCTTGGCGTCGAAGTTTCCCATCCCCGAAGCCAGAACATAAAACTCGTATCCATGGATGTGCATCGGGTGTTCCTCCGCTGCCGAAATATTGGTCCCCTGCATCACTATCTGAACAACAGAGCCGTATTTCAGCGGGTAGAGCTTCGTCGCCCTAACCGGTTGGTAAAGGTTCGGACTTACATTGCCGGTGTAGTCAAATTTCACCGGCGGGGTTGCCGGAAAATCAGTCGTGAACACGCCGGGAACCTTTGACTGCGCTGCTTGCAGCAAAGAGAGACCTTTCGGGAGCACAAATGAGTAATTGTTCATGCTAGCGGTCAGCCGAGTGTTGTTCGGACCGGCGCATGTTCTTCCCGGCGGGCAGTTGGAGAGACCCAACCCGACGGTGAAGAAGAGGCGCTCGTCTACAGGAGCGGGGACTTTGACCGGTCGCCGGCTCTTAATGCTCGCCAAGAATGCAATGGCGGTTGCGGTGTCGTTGAAGGCGGGTAAGACGGCGGGTTTTGGGGGGGAGGAAATGGGGCTGTTGGAGTAGCTGAGGATGGCGGGGGTTGTTGTGTTGTCGAAAGCGGTGCCTGGTGGAGCGCTGTTGTATGCTTGAGCGGCGAGGTAGTAGCGGCCGGCGGGCTGGTTGGTTTGGATGAGGATGTCGGTGGTCTGGCCGGGGCCGAGAAGGATGACGGAGGTTGTGAAGGGCTTTGTGTAGGAGGCGTCGGCGGCCACCACAGTCATTTTGTGATCTGCGATGGAGAAAAACAGCTCGGTGATCATGGCGGCGTTGATGAGGCGGAGGAGTATCGTCTCGCCGGAGCTCACGGGGAAAACGGTGGTTCCTGCATTGGTATCGGATTTGTGTCAATAGTAAGAGTAAATGAGTGTGAATTTGATGTGTATCGGTAATATTGAGATGATATTCAAGTAAATGCTTCCTCAGTACCATCAAACTCAGGATCAAATGTTATGTAGGTAGCCCGGTCTTAGAGTACAATATGATTGTATTTTTTATTTTTATTTCATACAATCATGTTGCACAAAGTACAAAAAATCAAAAAAATATCTCAATATGAAAGCCATAAAATACAATATGGCCAAAAGTAAGACTACACCGTACTGCATGACCGGGAAGAGTTTCAGACTTCTCTATTTTTTAGATAATGAAGATTTGATTGTATTATGATAATAGTGTAATGATATTCGTGAACCCATGATCAAACCACACATGAATATGTAATACATAATGTTCGCTTGTAGATTTGATCTTATTATGATCATGGTGTGGTGGCATTCATTATAATATTATCAATTCATATATCTGATATGATATAACATGTGATATTCGCTCTTGAGCATAGGCTATGACGCGAGAGATTAAATCACCTTTGGTGGAGCAATTGTAGAGATCTCCTGGCTGACCGTTAATGGTGAAGGCATCAGAGCTGTTTGGAGCCGCTCCAGTCTTTAGGGCCTGCCGGATTACATCAAGGGGGTTCTGATTCCACCACTCACCTGTCATTGTTGTAGCTACTGTTAGATTACATACATCTATTTTTTGGGGGCAATAAGAAACAATTTCTTTCTACCACAACTTCAACTTTCTTTTCATGCACATGTAAAATGGCATGTAAGTGAAAAAATTGATGTTTAAACATTAAATATGTAAATATGTAAGAATTGAGTAGTATGTATGTAAGACTTTCATGAATAGATTAGCATACCAAGAAGCACAGGGAACTCTCTGTGAGGTTTGAGAAAAGGATAAGCAGAATGCTTAGGAAAAATTATCAGAGCTCCATAAACAGTAGCCCTAAGCCAAGAACTGTGTGCATGCCACCACAACGTCCCCTCTTGATTCTCTATCTTGAATCGATACGTATAAGCCCCCCCTGGCTGAATCGGGCACTGTGTCACATAAGCCGGCCCGTCCGCCCACCCATTTCTCATCTGTCTGATTCCATGCCTGCCCACAAAATCATGTATAATCATCAAACATACAATCATATATAATCCCCCACTATTTACATAGATTTTGTACATAGAGCTGTAACATACCAATGAATAGTAATGTTATACTTGGCTTGGTTAACAACTTTGACAGCAAGACTGTCGCCATTTCTAACCTTGAGGGTGGGACCGGGGAACTGGCCATTAACTGTAATAATCGTGCGTGTGTGGCACAGCCTCTTCACCGGCTTCGCTTTTACAACAAAGTCATGGTAGTGAACTTCTGCATTGGCGATGAGAATCTGCATGGAGAACCAGAGAAGGAAGAAGAAGGACAGAGAAGAAGAGGTGGAGGTTTTGGTGCCAATCTCCATGGTTTGGGGTCTGGAAGGTTTGGTTGAGCTGGAGAAGGTAGTCATGGGAGGGATGATGAGGTTTTCTTATATAAATGTGGGAGGAGGGAATGAGTAATGGGTTCGTTAGAGGTTGGAAGATTAGGTTTTTGTGAGGTGTGATGAACAGTTAGGTTTAATAAAATAACGGTCGAATTGTGAGAAGGCTGATCTGATATTAGCTTTAAAGTCGTTGCAACTACTAATATATGATCACTGTGCAATAACGAAACGTAGATTATAAAATGAATAATACATGCATGCTCATTACCTGCTCCTTAGATTTGTATAGATTGTTATTTATATAGTTCACAACTTTATTTTCCAGATGTTACATTTTTTTCTTATTTTCTATGATAAGAAATATTTTGGGGGATTTATATACATGCCGCCCAATTTCTACCTATTTATGTATGTGACATGTAAAGTTTGCTTTCTTACATTTATATCATCTAAATCATTCGTATATCACATCAAAATTAGTCCTCGGATCGCACCCAAGGAATAAAATTGCACGAGGAACGAGAAAGAACATTTGAGAGAATATACAAATTCTCTTCGAGATTTGACCGAAATTTTTTTTAATGAAAGAAAAAGAAAGAGCCCCCCTCCCTTGCCTTGATTCTTATAATAGCCCCTATTTATATTGGGTTGACATTTGGAGAAAGGATGTGTCGTATCATTCCAATGTTAAAAGTTTTGGGTGGTTATAAGATTTCAAGTTTAAGTGCTTTCCGCTAGTTGTGTAAGATTGGTGAGACATGACCTTTGAAGAATATTGAGAGTTCTATCATAAGCTTCCACCTAGAACGTTTTTTTTGGCGCTTGAGCCTTCAAGCACTCGCTTTGGATTGCTCGATCACGGGACCCTTGACCTTGACCACTCAACGTCGAACGTTAGTTGGTTCTCTAGGACTTTCTGATATGTCGGTTGGCATCTCATTTGTAGCTCAACTCACATCTCCTAACTTGGCCTTGATCGTTTGGCCTTGGATCCACTCAACTTCATATTAATTTTTGGAGGACGCGGGATTCTAATTAGTCGATACGTGCTGCTTTTCTAGCTCCCTTAACGATCTTCCTCGATAAAAGTTTGTTGTTGCTATCAAACTCCTGGGATCATCTCTTAGTTTGCTTATATTCGATTGATCAGGGACGTTGACTCTATGATTATCGATCAAGCTACTTTCATCAATAAATTCATTATCTGACATGAATCTCAAAGCATGACATGTGTTTCAAAGTGATCTTTTGAGTAAGAAATATTCAATTTTTGATTAAAAGTCATCACAAGCTCCAATTTCAGCGTACTTATTGTAAAACTGATTAGCTTGACGCGACAGACCAAATGATATCAAAATTGGTCCAATTTGAGTCAAATCAAGCTTCTATCAAGCCATTAAATTGATTTTAAAACTTTATGAGTATATTTGGAAGGTTAAACAGGCATCGAATGTACAAGCTTATAGTTGAATTGAACATCTCAATAAGATGTATCTAACGAGTCCAAGATCGCTCAATCTAAGCACTTAGACGATAATATGTTACTCTACCACTACGAATTTTCTAACACGCATCATGTCTACATAGAGATATATCTTTTCATGAACTTATCTGTTATAATTTACTTTTACAATTACAAATCATCTACACTCTTAACGAATTTGCCATAAATAGAAGGTTAAAATGCTAATAAAATAAAGTTCTACCGTTTCAGTCCTAATTATGCAATCAGCTTAACAAACTTGAATTTCTTAATAAACTTGTGATTAATACCACATATGTCTGCAAAAGGTTTGGTTGGGGTGGTTAAGAGTTGTTATTCGGTAGCCATTTGACCACTTCGCTGCAAGGCTAATGGGGACCGGACGTTTCATTTTTATATCTATTTTCTAAGTACATAACTTAGTTTATACAGTTATTATGATTAATGACAATTGGCACATTGTGTCGGATGTCATGAATCCAGCCCAAGTTTCTTAGTATTTACTTCTCCTTTTCTTTTGAATACTATCTTTATCTTGGTCATATAATGTTAATAACAATAATATATTATAGTTTTAATATGTATTTAGTGAAGTGTATCCCGGTTTGTTGGTTGGCATCCGCGGTATGAGACCCCTCAGGTCGGAGGTTTGAATCCCCTCTGACATAGTTAGTCATTAAGAGGTGGTACTCGAATTGTTAGACACATTAGGGGTGACTGAAGGCTCGTATAATAGGCTCTAACCAGAGGCTATTATAGGAGCATTCTGTCATCTCTCATGTGTCTAACAATTCTAGTACCATCCTCTATACAGCGACCGTCATCAGAGGGGAATTCGAACCCCCGACCTCTGGGGCTTACAACTGACTCGCAGATTCCAACTAACAAATTGGGATAAATAAACACACACAGACACACATAAAAACAAAAATCAACAGAAAGCATCATGAGTTCACAATCAAATGAGGTCTTCAAAGAACCATGACTAGCTGATAACCAAGTTGATAATTAACTAATGACAAAAAAAAAAAACGTCAAATTGCGTAATATTTTTTTGACTTATAATTAATATTTATTTAAAATATGAAAAGCATTGACGAGGTCAATTGAAGGGGATGAAATATAATTAAAGGGGCATTTACATAAATACCACCCAATTTTTATATATTTATATATGGAATCCTTAAACTTTAATTTTTACATATCGATGGGGTTTTGCTGAATAAAGCACCAAAATTTAGTCGGATATAGCTAGATGATCAAGGTGTTCTAACTAGAAAGGGATTGAATGGATAAGCGGGGCGATCTAACCATAGGATGCCATTGACAGGATGGTTAAAAGTGGCTTAGTCAATCAAAATGTTAATCCAATCAACACGGTAATATAAGAAGGCTAAGGGTGCGTTTGGGGCGGCAGTGCGGTGTCACACAATAGTTTTTTTCTGTTTAACAAAACTTGCATTTTGTCTGTTTATTCAAAAAATTATAGCTGAAAGCTGCTTTTGCCATCAGACTTGGTTTAATGCAGCTGCTGCTAGAAAGTTGCAGCTTGATTTTTTTGTTTTTTAAAAAGAAAAAAATTGTAAAAGCCACCACAACTTTTTGATCAACAGCTTCTTCTACAGCAGTTTCACAATCCATTCTTCTAGCAACTGCAGCTGTGCCAAACAGACCCTTGGTTTGCACTAAACTTAAATATACTCATTGGGGATGTCAATCAAATTCATGTATGGGGGTTTTTTTTTAATTGTGCCCAATATAAACGGGTAACTGAAAAAATATACTAAGAGTGGAATATGATCTTTCTTCTTTATTTTATCTTTTTAGAAGACTAGATTCATATGCAATAGGGAGTGTTTATCGGATCATATGATCATCTTATCTTCTCCCACATTTATCGCAAATATTTAATATTAGCCTTGTTAAGGAATTACCTAATTTTTAGCAAATAGAAGCAATCACTATATGCAACATGTTCATAGAAAAAGATTTGACAAAAGATGTAATCTATGTTGATTGAAATATCTTACAAATACATCAAGATCTAACATATCAGCCTTCAAACATCAAGTTTAACACAAAATATGCCTAAGCATGTATATTTTTGACTATATTCCATAGATAGGGGCATTAGATGACATTCATCTATATTAATCAACAAATAGAGTCTTCCTTCATAGACATTTTTCAATCATAAAAGGTTCTACGCAAGTTGGCACAAATTGTCGGTGCCTATGGCTATGAGTGACGATGGAGCAAATTAAATTTAGCACCATGTCTCCAGCCATGAAAGCCCCAAGGCTTGCCAATTTATCAATTGCTTTAGCCAAACAAGCATGATACCATTCTAGGTTTTGTTGGGGAGTTTTCTCGCACCTCCAAATCTTGCAAGGTATATATATATATATATATATGTATATATATAGTACAATATACCCACAAAATCTCTCAGAGTTTTTCATCCGATTTTTTTCACATTAGCATAAAAAATCAAAATTTTATTAAAGGCTTCGAGCAAGTTATTTGCTCTCACATAATGTATAATGGAATAATGACAACGAATTTGATGGTGTTGAACAAATATTTTAATTTTAGTATTTTTATGGGCCAATTCATTGTCGAATATGATTCAACATGGCACATCAAATCGATATATGATTTCTTATGAAAATGTAACACATTTCTAGTTTTTACTTCTATTAAAGGGACAACTTTTGCCCATTTAGAAAAAAATAATCAATTGCCGCAAGAATAAATTTATGTCATTAAATGACGGAGCATAAATAGGACATATAATATGGCACAACAACCTGATTCTCTGATTATGGGTTGTTTCCACAAGATGTTATTATATCTCTAATTCGTTTTGATCCGATCTCATTTCGATCATACGTTTTTTGGGATATTAAGTGAAGATCATCTTATGAAAGTTTTCCACGTTCTTTTAAATTGTTTTTTAGTTTTTCTCATCATTTCTTTCTTACAAATTTCTCTCTTATGCGGATCATTTTCATGATTCAAAGGAGAGATTTATTTGGAAAGAGAATTAGAAGACCGCGTTAAGACAAGCTGGTGATAAAAAAAAAAAGAACGAAAACAAACACTTTTATTGGAAAACACGCATGGACTCATATCCAACCTAAAATTTGAACAAGATAACTAGATTTTAATAGGAAAATACATATGGATTTTACAACTATCCAAGAGCTAATCAAATGGTTTTCATTAAACTTGAATACTTAACGATGGAATGCACATGTGGACTCACATTCACCCTAGAGGT